GCCTCCACTCCCTCTCCACTCTGCAGAGACCCAATTTGCCTTATCAGAAACTCCCTGCGAGTGGCTGGCTAACCAAATAGCTAGAATTCCTGCTCAGAGGCACATCTGTTCCTGATCGAGGGGAGGCCAGGGATGACAAGGCCCGGGGAGGGGGAAGCAGAGGTACGGGCCAGACCTTCCCAAAAAATGATGCTCCCAGCCAGGAGCGGGGAGCCTGCCAGCCTGGCAGTAGGCACAACCGGATAGCCTCCAGGGCCCCCGGGCCTGAGGTGGCTGCACTCCTGCCTCTCTACTCCTTCCTGTTGGGGGACCAGGGATTGGAAGGACACCCCCCCCCCCCCGCCACTGTGCATGCAATGCTGTCAGGCTACACTTCACTCCTCCCACCTGAAGCACCTCCCCTACTCCCCACCCTGCACCCCTCCACCAACACTCCCAACTCTCTGGGGCTCCAACGCCCCCTACACTTAGACTGCTTCTCTACAGTATGTCTCTGAGTGGCTCACTCCCCTCCACTCTGCCCCAGAGCCCTTCTTAGCTGCCTAGAGCCCATGTAAGGTCAAGTTCAGCTTCTTGGCTCAGCTCCTGAGCCCTTTGTACTCCAGTAGTCCTGAAACTGTTATGTGGTTCCCCCTGCTGAAACACCTTTCCGGCTCTCCATGTCTTTCTAGCTCCTGCACACCCTCCAGAGGCACGACGGGGGATCCTGGGTGGTCCTCCTAATCCTGCTCCCATCCCCCTGGTGAGCTAGTGTTTCTGGCCTCCCAGGATTCCACAGGAGCTGCTTGGCTGAGCAACTTTCCTTTGAGGCCCTGGCTCCCAGGCAGCACCCTTGGTGGCATGGACGTGTACACAGATGAAGAACAATAGGAAAGACCAGACCTATGGAGGAGGAGCAGGAAGGACACAGCGGGGTTGGTGTGAGGCCCATGTACTCTGACGTGCCCAGGGAAGCAAAGGTATATACTTTTTCCTATCTCCCTGGAAGGCCAGTGCCTGGGCACGGTCTGAAGGTGGGAGGCCCACTCCCTCACCTCAGGGCCCTCCATGCTCCCCACTGGACTCTAGCAGACACCCAAGTCTCCACCTAGCCATCTGCTAGGGTGCCGTGGAGTATTGGGGTACAGTCCAGAACCATCTGCTCTATGCCTGCTACCCCGCTGACAAGGTCCTTCTGGGGCTGCTGGGTTCCCATGACAGAGGACGTGCCCATTCCGTGCTCCATGGCCAGCTGAGCCAGGGCACTGTGGGCCTTAAGTAAGGCAGAGGGGATAATGGGGCGCAGTGCATGGGGAGGCAGCAAGTGGGAGGCCCATCAACCTGTAGGTCTAGGCACCTGTCCTCTTGAAGCAGAGGTGGGTGCTTGGGACAGAAGACGGATGTGGGAGGGGCTCCTTGGAGGGGACAGTTGAGGACAAGGGTCCCTTTCTAGGGTGGGGTAGAGTGCCCACTGCAGCTCCCAGATGGATATGCACCCCAATACTCCCAGCCCTCAGGATGCACTTGGTCAGTAGCCCGTGCCCCACAGAAGAAACAAGCCCTCCCCATTCCTAGCCTTTCCCCACTGCAGCCTAGTGGCCCCTTCCCCAACTGCCCAGGGCCCAGTGTGAGGGGACTGTGCTGGGAGAGGGCTGACCGGTCGGAATGTGCTACAGCCAGTGTAAACACATCGTTTCTGTCTGCCTAGGGGGAGGGCTGGGGGTGGGGAGGGAGTTGTCTTGGGCTTTGTTATGTTCTGAAAAAAAAAGGCAAAAAATTTGGGTCACAAACCACAAACTGTTTTGCTTTCGGCATAACTGGCATAAACAGGCATTTTCTCTTTGGTTTCTGGCCGGCAGAGGCCTGGGCTGGCTGGGCTGGGAGCGGGAGAGGCTGGAGGCTGCGCTAATGAGGCCTGAGGCCGTGGCCGCTGGGCCAGGAGGGGGCTGGGCAGGACTGGAGCCCTGCAGAGCAGGTAGAGGCCAGGCTTGGGGTGCTGTCAGCCTGGGGACCCCACCCCAGGCCCAGCTGCCCCTGGCCTGGCCACACCTGTGCAGAAGCAGCCACCAGGTACCAGGCCTGGGCAGCCAGGAAGGGTGGAGACCCTGGCCAGCAGGTGGACATAGGTCACTCAAGGATGTGAGCAGGGCCAGGTGCGCGTTCCAATAGGAGGCTGTGGAAGGCTGGGATTTACCCTTGAGGGAGGGGCCCGAATGGCAGGACAGAGAGGGTTGTCCTTAGTCCCGGGTGCTGTGGTATCTCCAGAGACAGGCTCTGCTCTGAGGGCTGCAGAGTCTCGACAGTCTTGGGGAGGTACTGAGGGCAAGCGTCTGTGTCCATGGCTACTGGCATCTCTGGGGAAAAGGGACAGTGGCTAAATGCAGATTGCTGTTTACATAGGAGGAGCCCTGACACCTGGGGAAGAGGGCAGGACTGAACAGAGAGCAGAAAGGGTGTGCAGGAGTTCCCAGGGTGTGGACAGGTACCCTAGGGTCTGGGGGAGACAGCAGCCAGTATGGGAGGGGAGATGGTGGAGGGGCAGTGGTACAGCCAGGAGAAAGGCAAGACATAATGCCGCTGAGGAATGAGGGAAAGCCTGGCCAGGGTCTGGACTTTACCCAGTGGCCCGTGGAAGCCACAGACGCCTCTAAGCAGTAGGCCCCAAGCCCATCACTCTAGCCCACGTGGAGTATGGCCTGAGGGGCTGGTGCACTCTCTCATAGTTCTGCCAATCAATTCAGAGTGGAGACGTCTGTCATTTGTTAAAACCATCCTAAACCCAAGAAGACCTCGTCTTCCACATCTGTGAAGACCCTTTCTCTAAATAAGGTCACACTGGCAGGCCCCAGGGGTCAGCATGTGGACATTTCTTTCTGAGGGCCAGCACTGAACTCACTGCAAGAGGAGTCTGTGTTTGTGAACAGCCGAGGCCTTTGTGGCACGGCCCCACTGGGGCTCTGATCTCTTCACCCACACCAGTCGTCTCCCGCTGCTGTAGCCCTCCTCAACCCTTGGAGCATGGCTGAACACTCCCAGTCCCATTCATGTTGCAGCCCCCTCAAGGGGTGCTCTTCCCCTATCCCTCTCTCTCTTCACTCCCTGTGGGTCTCTGCTTCAGTGCCAACTTCTCCATGAGCCCTATGCAGCTTAAAAGAGCACCTCAACACCTCGCAATACTTGGCCTTTCCCAGCCTGGGGCATCCTGCACACGAGCAGTACCCACCTAGGTCTGGGGAGAGGTGGGTAATAGATGGAGGACGGGCGATGGATGGGTAACAAGATGTATATTAGGATGGATGAATGTGTGGGTGGGTGAGTGGATGAGTTGGGGGGGCGCATGGACGGATAGGTGATGCTTCTGGTATAAACAGAATTTCCAGAGCAGGAGGAAGTGACAGCATAGGGTCTGAGGGCCCCTGGAGCATTCTCTTAAATGAGGCTGGGCCGGTGGGAGACAGGCAACCCTGAGAGGGCTACTGCAAAGTGGGGGATAACCCGAATGGGGCAGAGGAGTCAGGTATGCCCAAGACTTTAGGAAGATCAGGGGAGGTCATGGGGGTCTTAGGGAACATGTGCCACTGGGGAGTGGGTATGGAGCCAGATTACACTGAGGACGAGGAAGGCCAGGAAGGTCAGGAAGGCCTGGGGGCAGGGAGAGATGGAGGGGTGTGGGGTACTGAGAAGGCCAGTACTGAGGTAACCTTGAGCAGGTAGGGGGATAGGGGTTAGAGGCTGGAACCCAAAGACCCTGGGAAGGTCCTAGGAAGCTGCACAGCTGAGAGGGATAAGGCAGAACTTCAGGGGGCCTTTAGGGGGTTCTGGCAGCGAAGAAACTGCATCTGCCTCTGGGGTGGGCAGAGAAAAGCAGTCCCCACACCAGAGGCAGAGGGTCTCAGGGCAGCCCCCTGGGGAGTCAGGCAATACCACTTGGGCCCTGGACCCTCTGGGCCCACCGGCACCAATGTATAGCTTAGGCCTCACTCTTGCTTTGCCCTTGTGCAGCTGGGAACGCCCCTAGTTATGCCTTCCACATCCCATTTGCTATTTTCTGACCCCCCACAGCCCCCTTCATCTACAAGCACAAATCTTTCTCCCCCAGGCAGCCTGCTCTGATCACAGCTCCCCAAATCGCTCAGAGTAGTTCTTGGGGTGTGTGGGAGGCAAGGCTGCCCCGTGGATGCCACTCCAGGCCCTAGAGGCCTGGGTCACAGCCCAGTGCCTCCCATCGAGAAATGCTAAAAATTAGGGAACAGCAAATGCAAAGATATGAAGATTCAGGAAAGGGCAGAATCCCCAGGTTCCAGGGTGAGAGACCTTCCCAATGCCAAAGGCCCTGAGAACATCAAAGTCCTCCTTCCTCCCCGCTTCCAGGGCCCCTCCCACAATGGGGTGGGCCGAGCAGATCTGCTGATGAGGGTGGTGGGGGCGGAAATGAGCTAGTCAGGGGACAGAGGGAAAAGGCCAAGCCTCAAGCATCTGTGTGCCCCCTCACCCTCCTCTTGTGCTCAGTGACCACTAAGGTCAGAGACTAGCACGGCTGAGCAGGTGGGCACAGTCTCATCTCTGTCTATAGCACCTGATGGGCGGGAATATAGGGAAGCCTCCATCTTGCAGGGAGAGAGACCGGTGGTGGGGAACCATCCCAGGTAACTAGCACAGGATCTCATGTCCGGTGACTGCTATGGATGGTGTCCACAGCCTCCCAGGAGCAGCCTAGCCCCAGCCTAAGGTTCAGAGAAACAGGCCCTGGGGCTGGCATCAAGGCCAGTGGGCTCTTTCCTTGGCAAAGGAAACCCCCCACCACATGCCCCTCCTCCCCTAGGGTCCCCAATCTTTGAGACAAAATTGTCTCAGATCCCCCCAGCTTCACACGGGAGCTCTTCCGTGATCTCAGGTCCCTGCGCTGAGTCCAAGAGGCCAAAGGGCCCACACCTCTGAAGCCTCCCCCGTCCCCGCCCTGCTGTCCCAGGTGCCCAGCCTCCCTGCCTCAATCCCATACCCAAGAGAAAGAACTCAGAAAATAGTATTTTAAATGCTTTATTAAAATTGCGAGCATTAACAAGTTAAAGACAAAACCCATGCATTGGGTTTTGCCGGAAATATGAGCATGTTAAAGGAGTTAAGTTGAGGTGGACACAGCTGTGGCGAGATGGACAGACACAGCGACACAGGTGACAATTGGTGTCCAACGCGTGGGGGGTCTTCAGGTGATGGTGAAAGGGGGACCCAAGAGGACGGTCCCGCTGAAGACATTGTGGGAGTAGGGACACGGGGAAGAGACAAGATGGAGGGCCACACCAGGGCACGGAGGCCAGACAGGTGCCTGGGTCAAGATAGTGGTGACCTTGGAGAGCTGTAAAATTTGGGACACAGAGGGCAGTGACAAGCGCCCCAGGAGTACCCAGCCCACTGAGGCAAAAAATACTGCGTGGGTGGGTATCCAGAAGAATGGGCAGGTAATTTAGGGTGCCTCGAAGTCTTTTGGATCTCATGCCAATTCATCTGTGTTCTCCAATTCTGACAGTTTTGCTCTTTGGGTTTCTATCCAATGTTCCGAATGGCCCATTCTCCAGCTGCTTGCTAAGGGGCCCTCCGTGCGGTGCTGGACTGACATGTACCGCCCCCAGGGTCATGCCAGCCCCGTCACTAGGACCCAGAAGCCTTGGGCCTCTAAATTGCTAGTCAGACCTCATGCAGGGGGGCTGCACTGGGGGCAAAAAGGTGGGGGTGAGGTAGACAACCACCCAGCCGCCCGGTTCCCTGCACAGTCCTAGGCACCACGGTGTGGCTGCCATGGCATTGCCAGACCCACAGGCCTCGGGGCCGAAGTGACCCCACTCAATGGCCAGCTCTCGTGCTCTGCAGGCTCAAAGCCTCCTGGCTTTCCCAACTCCCTGGCCTCACCCCGCTCTGCCCAAAGGAGGCTCTGCAGAGCGCCAGACCTCCTGGGGACAAGGCAGGTGCTGAGGGGTGGACAAGGTATCACTGAAGGGGGGGGAGGGTTCCTCAAGTGTGTGGAAGGCGACCACTTGCTCCTGCCCGATGGAGTCTCTCTGCTCACACATCCATAGCCCCTTCCCCCTCGACTGGCTGCAGGCCAACCGAGGGCCCCATCTCTGTGGCCTCCGAGCACCTTCCTGACACCTGGGGAGACACCTCCCAGCCCCTCCTCCACCCCTCAAAACTTCTGGGGACTAAGCCACCATCCCCAGAAGCCAGACCAGGCAGCGCCCTTCTCAATTCCCCTGACTTCTCTGCAGGGTACTGTGGCCGATACCCTGTGGAGGCCCCACTCTCAACTCAATCCAAGCGACAGGAACAGATTAAAAATCAAAGGGCGATAAATGGCGGAGAGCAGGACATGATGCTGGCATAAATGGCTTTGCGCACGTTACTTGGGTCACTGCTCCCCTGTTACATAGGGGATGGGTATAATTTGATTGTGAGCGCATAAAAAGCTAAGTGATAGTAAAATAAAAAAGAAAAAAAAAAAAAAAGGAAATATGCCCCAAGAAACAAAGGGGGAAATGGACCAATTGATGTAAAATTTGGGCTCCTGATTTCTCTCCGTAATTCTGCAAATTTAGCCGTTTCTCCTCCTGATTCTTCCATCCAAAATCTCCCAGAACACTTTCTACCCCAGAGCTCCCCCCACCCAGCCCCCACTGCCCCCCACCCACCCCTCCAACCGCCAGACTTCCCACACTCCCCACTATCAGGGCAAAAATGATCCTCTGGTGCTCAGGGCGGGGGATCCCCAGATCTTTCTCCCAGGAGCACAGTCAGGGGCAGGCTACTGCAAAGCATGCCTTGCTTGCTAACACCATCTCTGATCTGGCCAAACTCATTCCCCACTCTGGGTAGGTATCAGTGCTGGCGGAATCTGGGAGCATGGTGATTCACGGGAATGCAGACCATGAAAACAGCTGAGAGAATTTGGGATGGAACTCTGCCCGATCAGTACAATGTGGGTCAGCAGTGAGGGCTGCTTTTTTTTTTATTGCTTTCCAATTATGTGTGTGTGTGTGTGTGTGTGTGTGTGTGTGTGTGTGTGTGTGCGTGTGTGAGTATGTGTATGTGTGAAGGTATGTGGGATGGGTGCACATGTACATGTGGGCACATGTTGCATGTATGTGAGTGTGTTTGTGTGCCTATAGGGATAAATGTGTGCTTTCTAGGATAGGGACTGAGGTATAAGAATTTAGGGGGTGGAGGTTACTGCCTGTTAAAACTTATCTTTAAGGATATGGGTTTTCATGCTGCTCTCCTCCTTTGATCTCAATAGGTCAACTCCGCCCAATTCCCTGATGGCTCCTGAGATGGAAAGTGGGTGAGGAACAAGTCTGGTGGCCGCTGTTCTTAGGCAGCCAACATTAAAATGCTCAAAGGCAACGACTAGGTGATGGTGCAGAAGCAATGGCATGCCCGCCTGCAAACTTTTGGGCCCCCTTCCTTCCCCTTGCTGGTTCAGGGACCTAAGTCCAAAGCAGGTGATTCAAGGTCCGGAGGAGGAAGAAGGAAGGGGGAAGGGTGTGCCAAATCCCTTTACTTTTCCAATTGTTTCTAAGCCAATTCCTTTTTAGTATCTTTTCAGCCAATTAATTTCTCAGTTTTTTTTTTTTTTTTTTTTTTAAAGGCTACTTAGTGTTTCTGAAACGCCAATTAGTTTTAAGGGGGCTTTTCCAATTGTTTTGCTGTGCATGTAGAACTTGGGGGGTAATTTAGAGAGGGTGTTTGTGGGGGATGTTTAAATCCAATTGATTTTGTCTTTGAAGATGTTGCTCTGACTCCCTCAGCCCGGTGGAGTGGGGCCAGGGGAGCACCCTGATGTGGGGAGGCGGGGCACAGGGGCTGGGGTCAGGGAAACCATTGGGGTGGAAACAGAACCAAGAGATCTTAGAGGTGGGATGTGATGGAAATGTCCCTGCTCAAGAGGAGGTCACGACGCGATGGTACACATTGCAGAATTACAACAATTTAGCTCACTTCTGGTTGCTGGACTTCTCCGAAGAGGTATCATCCCCGTGGGCGGGGTCTTTGGAGGTCAGGACGGTCAGGGGATGATGACGCTTGGCCTCTCTGAATGCTTCAAGCTCTCTGGAGAGCTTGCGACCCCGGCGGGCACGCAGGAGGGCAGGCAGACCTCTGCGCAGGCGCTGAGTAGTTTGTCTCCAGGTGTCATATTGGAAAAACTTGCCCACGGGGTATCTGGGGAAATTGTCCTGGGAAAGAAGAAGCAATCAACAGATCAGTCTCATAGGCTGCACCACCAAAGCCACCTTCCTGGACCTCACAGTGACCTGGCCTGGAGACCCTTACACTTACACCCTGCCAGCCCATTCAATGCAGTCAACATCCACAGGGAGGGAGGCCACTGGCTAAGAGCACAAGTGGGACTGCCTTCCATTGTACTTCAAGCTAAAACCGGCTATGTCCTTGTCCCTTAACTAAGAGATCCCATCTACTGGGAGATACACCTAACATCCTATCCCTCACTTCTAGGAAGAGGGGAAAGGTCCAGAGCCTCACCGGAAGCACGGTCGGAGAGGATGACACGTCCCTCTCGGACTTGGCGGGGGTGGCACAGTAAGTCTCCAGAAGGGCCAGGTCGCAGCTGCGGAAGCAGCACTCTTCAACAATGCCACGGCTGCGACGGCTCACACGGCTTGCGGGTCTGCCTGGAGGTCCCAGAGGATAAAGTCACAGTCAGTGCTCATCAAAGCCACCCAGGGAGGCCACCCAGTCTAGGCCCTGGTCACCCTACAGGGCAGGCGGAAAGGACAGAGATGGAAGGGGCATGCTGCAGAACCGGCCTCTGGCCTCTGGTGCGTCCTGCCTCGGATGTGAATTCCCAGGGACTGTGCTGGAGGTGGTCTGGAACATAGGTGGGGTTCGTGAGCCCAGCAAAGAGCCTGGCCCCACACGTGCGGTCCCTCGACTTGGGTGCCCAGCCGAGAGCAAGCCCACAACCTGGAGGGGCCCATGTCCCCAAGCGTTGAGACAGGGAGGATAGGGCAGGAGAGAACAAGACGGGAGGGGAGGAGTGAGGAGTCGCATTAACCACTCCCTTCTCTTCTCCCGTCTTTCTCCTCTCCCCCACGGCACTCAGGTCTGAGGCTTGGCTGGGAGGACAGTCACTTTGGGCAGGTGTCATCAGTGGTGGGAGGAGGGGCAGGGACCCCCAGCTGGGGGTCCCATTAGTGGGCTTGGCCCAGCTCTCCTCTTAGGAAAGCCCAGTTCAAGGGAGCGACTCCTTCAGCAAGGACCAACAGCACGGAACCTGCAGTGCCACGTCCTGCCCCGCCAAGGAGGCAGATGAGAGGGAGAACACAAGAGAGGCCAGGGCAGCAAGGGCTTCAGGGCATCCAGCAGCAGGAGTACTTTTCAGAGAGAAGTCGGAAATGTAGGTATATCTTGTGAGCCCGTTTCACAGATGCGTAAGTAGAGGCTGTGGAGGAGGAGGCCACATGGCGAGTGCCAGGTAGAGAAGACAAGGAGGTACATGCCAGCAAGAGAAGTCACTGTTCTGTTCCTGATGCCCCTCCTCCTCCTCCAACCCCGCCTGGGCATGTCCCTCTAGCTCCTCTCTTCTGGGAGCAAGGAGCCCACCCCAGCCCCCCAGGCTGGAAGATCAAGAGAGAATTGTGAGACACAGTCAAAGCAGGTGGGTACCCCACAATGCAGTGGAGACCCCAAACACATGGAGTTTTGACGGCAGGGCTCTGGGTTCTCCTCTCCTCCCCCGAGGCTGCATGTCCGTCATCAACCCTGCTACCTGCTAACTACATTTACTTTTATTTGTATTGATCTTAAGTGTATCAGATTTCAAATCTGATCATCTATGAACACACGCCCCTTGTTGAAACATTCACACCGTGCAGAAAAGAAGGTAGAGCCCACAGTCCTGCCCAAGGGACATGGTTCTTGGCAGCAGGGACTTGAGCCCACCCCACCAGGAACTCAGACCACCCCCCCTTGGAGGCCCTGTGGACCCACTGAGGCCTTGGGCCTCCCACCCTCTGCACCTGTGTGCCAGACACTGTGGGTGCTCAGTAAGTCTCTGCTGGAGACCTTATCTTCTCCAAATCTCAGCGCTGATGGGGGCTCTGAATATCTCCTTTCACAGGACGTGGCCACCGCCCCAGGAGATCTGACTCCAACACTGATGAGTACCTGCTGTGTGCATTCCTCTTCCCTTGCCCACCCCCTTTAAGTTACTTACTGAAATAGAAGCCGCGGTCCCCACAGACAAACTGGAGGGTGTCCACCAGCTCCCCGCCGCACAGGGTCTCACTGGGGCGGTAAGCAGCAATGCAGCACGAGGCGAAGGCCAAGAAGGTGAGTAGCACCAACATCGACTTCCCCATTGAAATCCCCATTGGTATCTGGGAGACAGAGAGACAGCCCAGTTTGAGTTGGCCCCGCCCCAGTCCCCAGGTACACCCCCCCCCCCCCCCCCTGCAACCTCAGGTCCTCAGCCACCTCCTACTCTCTAATTCAACTGAAATTTAAAAGTCCAGCTTCCTTCTTAATCTTAATTAAAAAAATAGCACACATGGTAACTGCTGAGGCCAGGCCACAGGACCACCGGAGAACAGAGACAGGTTTGGGTGTCGCGCAAAGTGCTCTGTAGCTTTAAGTTGCAAGATATGCTGGTAATATTAAATGGAGACCACCAATCCTTCGTCATGATTACAGGAGCGGAGTCACACCCACAGCCAAGGGGCCAGCGCTGGACACTCGACTGGTCTCCCTCCTGTGACATCATGGGGGTGGGGCCAGACCCAAGGCACGATTACCACTGTTGGGGCCCCCAGGCAACCGCCAAGATGGCAAATAGCTCCGCCTATGGGGAGCACGTATGTCCAAGAGGACCAGTCCCTGGCCTCCCCAATCCCAGCTGGGCAGGGAGGTCCAGGAGGACCACTGCTCCCCGAGAAAGCAGGCGAATCCTGCTAGGCCAGCCTCCCCGCTTCAGCCCGTGTGAGCCAAGCTAGGTAAAGAATCCAATGGTTAGCACAACTGTGCTGCCCGCAGTCCCAGGAGCCTTGGTCTCCAGAATCACCCAGCCCTCCCAGTCTGGCCTGCCCCTAGCAAACCAACACTCACAGAACCCCCTTTACAGGCCTCAAGTCACACCACCCAAGGCCAGAGACCTCAGAGGCCTTCCACAACAATCACGCCATCGCCCCTATTGCCTCCACGGCCCCATCCACCTCAGAAGGAGCTGGAGAGACCAGGTCAGAGCACCGGAAAGGCCACGTACCAGGTCCCTCCAGGCCCAGTCTGGAGGGGCTGCTCGTAGAACACACCGATCCATAGGCTGAGTGGCTGAAGGGCCAGCTGGGGCAACAGTTAATCAGCTCCTTTAGGTACATAAGACCTGAACTATAAGCAGGCTACCCCAACCCACAAAAGATGAAGTCCTCCAGGCCGGTGGCCCTCCAGACTTCCCTCCACAGGCCCATGCAATAAATCATGTGAGATGGAGCGGGAAATAAGAAAGACACAATCTTACTCAATTCCTCAACAAACCATGGCCAGCTTCATGAAAAGATCCAAAAACCACCTCTCCTACCTCTTCCACAGGACTAAGCCACCCCACCGCCCCTCTGCTGCTCCTTCCAATTCCTGAGAGCAAGCAAATTCAGCCAGCTGACCGTTCAGCTGCAGTCACTGCAAGGGGCAGCTCCTCTGCGGCCCCCGAAGTCCCTTCCACAAATCCCACCACTCCAGCTTCAGGTTCAGCCCAGGGTGCCAGCAAAAAGCCACGAATGGCCAGGAGGCATGTGGACACGGCAGACAGGTGAAGACCCTGGACAAGCCCTGAAGCTGCTGCTGAGGGAGGGAGAGGGGCAGGGAGAGAAGAGGAGCAGGTGAAGGAGCCAGGGAGCCAGGTGGAAGCTGGCGGAGGCTCAGGGGAGAAGCGAGGCGCTGAGGCCGCAGGCCGGGCTGCAGGGGCGCAGGCCGGAGGCTCGGCCGTTGCCCTCAGCAACCAGGCAGGCCGAAGCAGGATGGCAGCTGGGTCCTTACTCCACAGCCCCGGTTACCTCAACTGGACTGGAGGCCCGCTGGGGCTGGAGGAGGAGGAGGAGAAGTAGGTGGAAGCTGGAGGTGTCTCTCACAGGAGAAGTTAATGTCCAGTTTGCAAGCTGGTCAGTGCCTCCGCTTTTATGTCTGAGCCGGCTCCTCCCAGCCCCGGCTCCACCCTACCCCCACCCCCTCGCTGCTGACCACTCCTCCCGCCCCCTTTGCCCCCGCCCCCTCCCTCCTTCCAGCCAGTCCCTACTCTCCTGCACCCCCAATCGCTAGTCCTGGACCATCCCTTAGCAAAGTACCATGGGGGGCTCATCCTGCACCCCCAGCCCATCTCTGGCAAGACAATAGGGGGCGGGGGGCTCCTCTCCAGCCCCTCGTATGGAAACTTCCACTCTGCCAAGGGCAGGACAGCTGCCCCCTCTCAGGCCCTTCTGAGCCTCAGACCGGCTCCTTTCCCCAGATTCTTGGTTGGAAAAGTGGGGACAGGGGAGAAATAGGGGGTGGAGGAGAAATATATTGCAAATGTGGCGTCTGGCAATACTCTTTTGCCAACTCGGCCCCCCTCCTGGCCCCGCCCACCCCGTCTTCCTCTCTCCGTCTTGCTGGCACCAAGTCAACATACCAGGGTGGGCTTCCAAGACTGCCCCCCTCCTCATTACCCAACACCCTGGGGGGACTGTGCCCGCACCGCACAAATCGCGCATTTTCAGAAACACCGCTCTCTTCCCCCCACACACACCCACAAACCGACCAGGAAGTCGCCCGTGCCGACTGCACACACCTCCCCGCAGCTTCCCGACGCCCCCTCCCCCTCTCCCGCTGCACCGCGCGAGGAAGAGCGAGGGGTACCCGCAGGGAACCCGACCCCAGCCCCCAGCCCTCTCCCCGCCCAGCCACCCCGTCCGAACCCCAGGCCTTGGCTGGGCGGGTGGGGGGAAGAGCCAGGCGTTCGGCGTGCCCGCCTGCCCTCCTAGCCCCGCAGGTCCGCGCCGCTTACCTGGAAGCCGGCGACGCTGCCGCCCACCTCCCTGCTGCGTTATCGCAAACCGAACAGCGGGCGTTGGCCCTCCTGCCGGACACTCCTCTGCCAGCGCCGCTCTGGCCGGGTCGCAGGGGCCGAATGTGCGACGGGGCAGAACGGGGGGATGGCTTTTTTTTGGGGGGGGGACTCTTTTGCTTCTGTAGGGAGGACGGGCTGTCTTTGGGCTGGGGCGGGCCAGATGTTGTACTTTTAGGGGGGGAAAGGGTATCGGGAAATGAGGTCAGCTGTTGTACCAAGGATAGAGGGGGGCAGAGATAGTGAGAGAAACAGAGTGAACGTGAAAGGGGGGGGACAAAGAGAGGGCAAGAAGGAGAGAGGACAGCGAGAGGCGGGCAGGCTCACAGCGGGAGAGAACAGCACGGAGAGAAACAGAAAGCGTATAATTAATCCACTTTGGTAGGCGAAGGCAGAGGGCGGGAGTGAGGGGGGAGGGAGTCGGAGGCGAGGAGCTGGGGGGGGCGGGAGGGAGCCCAGGGAAGGTGGCGTTGGAGAAGCCGGGGCCGCGCGGACGCGGTGAGAATAGCGGGTCGAGGAGAAGCTAAGGGAAGGACGCAACGTCGGGGACTGGGACCGGGGACGGTGTTGACCGGGACGGAGTGGAGGCGTCACCCAAGCCGCGGGCGCCCAGCTCGGTTTGGGCCGACGGAGCCCTCGGCCGTCGCAAGCCCGGGTCTCGGGGGGAGGGAAGGAGTGGCGGCGCCGCGGCCGCTCGGGATGCAGCTCAGAAGGGGGAGCGGCCCCGGGGTGCGCGCCGGGGAGGGCTGGGGGGAGCGCGGGGGATGACAACGCCGGCGGCCTGCAAGCCGGACTGCCTGCGGGGGGGACCGCCTCCTCCGGCGAAGCGGGGACCGGCGTTGAGGTAGATGAAGGAGGAGACGGCGGGGAATCCGCAGGCCCGACGGAGCGCGACCCCGCCGACGGCGCCCAGGACGGGAGTTAGCAGCAATCAGCGGACGACGTCGACGCGGGGCCGCCAGCCCGGGTGGAGGCGCTGGCGGGCCGAGTGCGGGCGGGCGTGGGCCAGGAGG